TACCTGGTCTTATAGGATGCTCCTCGCCCCACAGGTGAAATGCTACGACTCGGTGGAGGGAACCATCTACGACTACGGGGCCCTGACCATCGATGGGGACGAATATATCCCCTTTAGGAATTATGCAGGGAAGATGGTGCTCTTCGTCAATGTGGCCACATACTGAGGCCTCACCCTGCAATACGTTGGTAAGGGTCCCATGGGGCACGAGCACCCCTGGGACAGGGTGGGCAGCTGAGGGGCAGGCAGCGTCATGCGGCACGTCCCCATGGTCTGTTCTGCCCCAGGGAGCTGGGGGGGAACGCCTGCTCCCCCGGACCCAGCCACGGCCAGGTACATCCCGAGGCGTTGTCAGCCCAGTTCTCTGCTAACCCCTCCCCGGCTCTGCTTGCGCACAGAACTGAATGCACTACAAAATGAGCTGGGGCCCTACGGGCTCGTCGTCCTGGGCTTCCCCTCCAACCAATTCGGGAAGCAGGAACCTGGCCAGAACTCAGAGATCCTTCCTGCGCTGAAGTGAGTACTGCGGAGGGGGCTGCAGGGCACCTGCCTCCCTCGGCTGGGCTGGGGTCTCCAACCAGGCCATGGGTGCACAGGCTGCAGCTCCTGCTGGCCGTGGCCCCCCAAAGCAGAAGGTTTGGGGATCCTCCACTACCCTGTGCAGCCCTGGGAGCTGCCCACTCTGTGACCCCTCACAGGTACGTCCGGCCAGGCGGTGGCTTCGTCCCCAACTTCCAACTCTTCCAGAAAGGAGACGTGAATGGGGCCAAAGAGCAGAAGGTCTTCACCTTCCTGAAGGTAAGTGCCACGGCAAGGGGGGAGAGGGGGGCAGCACCCATGGGGATCCTCCACTACCCTGTGCAGCCCTGGGAGCTGCCCACTCTGTGACCCCTCACAGGTACGTCCGGCCAGGCGGTGGCTTCGTCCCCAACTTCCAACTCTTCCAGAAAGGAGACGTGAATGGGGCCAAAGAGCAGAAGGTCTTCACCTTCCTGAAGGTAAGTGCCACGGCAAGGGGGGAGAGGGGGGCAGCACCCAGGCTGTTTTTCTGAGGTGGGGCAAGGCGGTGATGCACTGGCCTCTCATTGCAGAACTCTTGTCCCCCGGTGGCGGAGGAGTTCGGGCACCCCAAGAACCTCTTCTGGGAGCCTCTGCGGAACCATGACATCAAGTGGAACTTTGAGAAGTTCCTGGTGGGCCCTGATGGCGTGCCTGTCATGCGCTGGTACCACCGTGCCAGTATCTCCGTCGTGAAGAACGATATCATCGCCTACATCAGGGAGCAGCGGCAGCAGCACCAGCAGCGGGAGGGCTAGGAGAGGTCAGGGCC